TTCAATCATCTTTTCGATAATAATGTATAGGGTTCCTTAATTCTGTACACGATCGCCAAAGAATATTTCGATATGTGTGGATGTGGCCCATGTACCACGTCTGGCTTCCAAAATATATTGTATATTTCTATACTTGAAAAAAGTTGTCGTTTAGTCTCTGTCCAGTAATTGTTATGTATGTAGCCGCTTGAATGGCAATGAGTTTTTCTTAAAAAAAAAGGCAATGACAATGATTTGTCTAAAATCATCGTCCCATTTTTAAATATACAAATTCATACTCAGCCAATCTCTATATATTCATGTGGTGGAAGGTTTTCGGATATCCATGGTGATATCTGTCACGTACATTCAACATTATTATATCTAAAATTTTACGTTTAAGGTGTAGTTTGGAACCTTTGATTGAGAAAATTTTGTATACAAGAATGTATATATTAAGATTAGATATATTCTAACAATGTGTGAGTTCTAATACTACATTGTTTGAAGAACATAAAAGAATATGGACGTTAAATGAACTATGATACTAAAATCTCACAAAAATGTGAGATTAAGGAGTCGTTTGGAATTGAGATTTCAGATTATGTATTTAGACAACATGTAATCCGATAATTTGTCATTTTTAATGAAACACAATACTTTATTTAAACAGAAGATGAGACCACCAGAACCATTCGTTATGGAGGATTGTCAACCTCAACTAGTTAAGATTGTTAATCTCTCTCTTTTTTTCTTCCTCATTTTTTGAGGGATCACCAAAATCATTCAACCTCCAAACAAAGTTTTTTTTTCCTCAAATTCATACACTCAAACAGTGCATCTAATTATAATACATAAATTTATTAAATGCAACAATGTATAGAATCCCAACTACCATACATGGCCTAAGCATAATCATTTTTTACTTAATAGGAATACATCATGTATTGTCAATACATACATTATGTGCTCAAATCAAGTAAAATAATGTTGTATTCTGCTGGATGTGTATAGTCAAAATATATCATTAGAATCACATGTTCCAAACGAGGCATAAATTCCCAATTGCAACACTAAATTGACCTAATAAATCATTAAATATATAATCATTCTCAATACGATTGAAATCATATGATTCTAAAACATCCATTAATCCATAAGATAGAGTACAATACTATCAAAATCATTCTTCTCCGACTTTGATACATCTCCTAGAAAATAAATAAATAACATAATTTTGTTAACAATGGGGAAAGTGAAAGAGTGAAAGGAGAATTGAGGGAAATGAATTAGGTTTTTATTTGGGTGGCCAATTGCCACTCAACATTTCTAATAGTTATTTTATTCAATCGCACTCATTATCATTGACATGTTACTATTTGGTCTATATATTTTTATAAGTAAAGAAATACTCTTGTTCGGACGCATTATTTTTATATGTGAAGAATACTCTTGATGGGGCGAGTTCAGCGGCGAATCCTGGACATAGCAGACCATTGGGCCGCATTTCATTAGAAAATTAGATACTATAAAAAAATCATAGTTTTTCTTACAATGTCAATTGTACATCTCAATCTTTTAATATAGCAAATTCATCAATTATGGAGTCTACATCCATACCAATAGCATACTACTCTCTTTCAAATAAAATAGTTAACCAATCAGCGAGAAATTCATCGTTCACTTTGTTGCGCAAATCATATTTCACCAGTTCCATTTTTGAAAAGGTTTTCTCCATAGTAGCAATTTAAAAGGGCAATGTCAACACTAGACAAATCAATCGACTAATCAATTTGTATTGTGTGTTCATCCCTATTTCCACCAACTGCTCTAGCAATTTTTCATGGGAACAAGCCTCATAGTTCTTTTAGTCTCTTACGTTTTTAGAAATTTAGGTTACATTGTTTTTTTTTCTTTAGAAGAGAATCACTGGAGCTAGAATTTCTAGGCTAAATTTAGAGTTGTGATTTGAATATGTTCATCTAACCCATTTTCTCAATTACACACAATCTTATTAATAAAATAACACTGGGCTGAATGGTCACCCCTGAATCCGCCATTGGGCGAGTTATGTGTATAAGGCAAGGAGGCTAAAATCATACATGTCTCATGTCCATCAAAGTTTTTGCAGGTTTTACCGAATAAATTCCAGCCAAAATGAAAATAGTAATTGGTCAAAATTTAATTGAAGTGGGTTGGGTTTATGTTTAAGGGTATCTAACTTAACCAAAAAAAGTCTTGGGTTTGACAATTTCGTCTAGTCCGATCACCATATTAGTAGCATTGACCTGGTACCATACTGAATACTTTTAGAACGAAAGATAAGGGAGTTCAGGAACTTTCCTCACTTAATTTACATCAAAGAACATTTCTTTTATGTATGCTATAAAATATGTTTTACATTATTATATATTTCTTAATTATTGAATAAAAACTATTTCTATTTGTGGTGTCTGTACCATATTAAATGAGCTAATATATACAAAGTGTTAGATTAATAAAATAAGATCCAAATCACGATGCGTCTGTATGTAACTAACGATTACTACTAGGAGTTGAAACTGTTCGGAGTCATGATAGCCACAATCTATAGTTAAATACATTTAAGATAATGGATCGGATCAATATTGCATTCAATCCGCAATGATCTGGTCTAATGTCAATGTGATCTATTTTTCTTCATTATTTATAAAATTAATGAGGACCAAAAACCAAATCACATTATATTCTTTTTGATACGGTCCGATCCAAGTCTTTATTTAGTGTGGTCCGGCAAAAAAAACCCATTGCACAACCCTGTTAAGCACCAATAGTTCTAATTATAATTGAAAATCAATATTTTAAAATGGTTCCAACTTTATCCTTGACTCGTCCCGAATATCATAATAAAAATCCCAATTAAGGTCCAAGTAGAAACCTTAACCGGGTGCAATATAGGGCAAGTATGTTGAAATATCAACCTGGGGCGGACCATGTACCCTTACTTCGATTGTTGGAAACATTATCTAGCAATTGGTTTTTGGTGAAAACAACAATCTATAACTAAAACGTTTGGAACAGTAAATGGATTGGACACTAATTGAGAAGGCTTCACCTGGGTGTTAGTCCCCCAAGCTAATAATAATGACTTGTCGGATCAAATTCATAAGTGTGGGTAAAGTGGTTGTAAATCGTTGGGAAGTGCACCTATTGAACAAACGCCACTCTCTTAGTCTATAGGCCAAGAGAATCCAATTCAAGCTACCAAAGTAGCTCTCTTGACCTATCAACCAAGGGTTGACAAGACTTCACCCTCGAATCGGATTTCGGACAGCCAAATTACAACCAACCCTAGGTGCTAATACTAATTAAGAGGTTTGCCCTAATTTAACCTAAGCAGGAGACAAATATTCCCAAGGAAATCCAGCTTTTACAAGCCTCTAATCAAAAGAGATTCCCCTCTACCTAGATTAAAATGACATAAGACATTGAAATGCACAAACACAATCAATCTTCATAAAAAAAAACCTCATAACTTTGTATTAAAACACACCCACACACTAATCATTCAACCCATACAAACATTCACATCATTGTAGTTAGGGTTTACACACACCCAAGTAAAAAGTAAAACTACTCCATGCTAGGCAAGGAGGAAACACAAGGGAGAAGAATAAAAACCATCTTGGAGATGCTAGCCTTACTCCTTGTGGTGTAGTGATCCTCCTTTGGGGAAGAAATTCCCAAAACCTTGCTTGGAGTTGAAACTCTAACCTCTTCTCTTCTTTGGTTCGTCAATTTCTTTCTCTAGAAAGCTGAAGAGGAAGAAGTTCCTCACACTTGGTCTCTTCTCCCTTTTTCCTTCAGCTCAGCCCTCCTTTTATACCTAGGTCGCAGTTAGTTTACGGTCCCATTTCACGGTCGTGAACATCCTTCCTGGACCGTGATGTCGAGCAAATTCGCACAATTTTCACTTAGTCTATTCAAGGTCTGGGGCTTGAGCTTACGATCTTACAATCGTGAACTGACTGAAATCCAGTGATGTGTGCATTTTGCTTCTGGACTCTTTGGCGCTTCATGGCCTGGGGCTTTGGTTCACGGTCTTGCGACCGTGAACTAGTTGGACTCCAGTGAGGTGTGCATTTTGCTTTTGGAAATTCAGTGCTTCACGGTTTGGGCGCCCTTTTCACGGTCCATTAGACCGTAAAAACTCATCATCCGCAGTGATCCTTAGCTGGTTCTACCCTTTGACTCGTTTTCGCTCGTTATCGTCCCACTTTTGATGTCAGGGTCAGTTTCACCTGCTAGGATCTGAAACATACTAAAACAAAGTGCAACCTAGCGTAAAACAACACCTCACGGGGTACAAATACATCAAACGTCTAAAGAAAACGGGGATAAAATGTGTACAACTGGATTCGAATCAAACCTACAATGCCTATCATGTCCAATCTTGTACAAAATGCATATTCTGATATGAATTATCACTCAAAATGATTGATTTGACTTAATTCAAGTGTTGGTCATTATGTTGGGCGATCAACCCACCATGTCAACATAAAAAAGTTAAATTGTTTTATATTCGAACAATTAAGATTGCCGAAGATTTGGCGGAGCTATGCAAGGTTGAAGGTCAAGAGGAAGAGATGAAGAAGAGGAACTCCCAACCCAATGGGTGATGACAGCGGCAGTAGGTTTCAGGAGTGGCGATCGTAATTCGGATTTTTGTTGTTTTTCTTATTTTTTTGTTTTAAATTTTATTTCAATTGTATTAACTTGAAATTGAAGATATGCGAATTGTCCGAATTTTTTTAGTTTGTGCTGACAAGATAGTGACATAGCGGGTTGATCATTAGTAAATGATTTTGACGGTTCAACTTAACAGTCAACACTCGGACTAGGACAAAATCAGTCATTTTAGATGATAGTTCAGACGAAGATATACATTTTTTAAAAAATTGACCAAGTTCGGACCATTTTAAAATATTAATTCATGATTAAAAACGTTTTCAAATGTAAAATTTATTACTAAAATCCTTCGTATTGAATTAAATTAGAAATAATATATGAAAGTAGCCCTCTTTATTACTTTAGGAGAATTTAATTACACCAACCAACCAACCAAACAGAACAAATCCATCATAGCTCACCGACTTTCTTCTAGCAGCTTCAGAAATTGCAGCAGGACAGTCGAGAAGGGGGCAAAATAATAAAAGCCCAAAAAGGAAAAAGAAAAGAACCAAATGAAGGGGGAAAAGGAAAATGGAGTGTTTTTTTTTTTTTTTGTGTGTGTGTAAGAAAATGGAGTATTTCTGAAGCTCACTGCTTTGCTGATTTTGAGGCAAACGCTCCAGAGAGAGATGGAAGTCTAGAGAGAAGGAGGAAAGGTTAAGAAAGGGAGAGGGTGTACTGTGCAAGTTTCAATACACAAACACGCAACTATAGAGACGGAGAGAGTCAGAGGCAAAGAGGGGAAGCTCCTCCTTTGTCTTTTGTTTCCTTTTTACTGCATTTGAGGGCTCCATATCTCTTCTCCCCTTTTCTCCAAAACCCATCACCAAACACTTCTGTTTTCGTTCATCAGTAGGGAAGAAAGAAAAGTTAGGTGGGTGTGAGGGCGATTGATTGATTTGCCCCTTCTTTTTTGCTCTAGGATTCTGCTCTCATTTGTTAACCCATTTTTGTGCTTTTAGGTCTGGTAGGTGTTTGATGCATTGTCTCGCAGAAGAATCTTTGATGTTTGTGTTGTTTCATTAGGGTATTTTCATTTTGCGGGGAGGTGTTATTGGTTCATCTATTTCTACTTCTCGGTTTCTGGGTCTTGCATTTTGTGAGATTCACCTAATCTGGGTAATGTTAGCTTTACCATTTTGAGTGAGTGTCGGTAGTCTAGAACAGATTGAAGCTTCAGAGCTATTGTAGCTTCCCCCTCCTATTTTCCCAGTCGATAAAGCTTGTACCTTTATTGTTCTTCGGGGTTCTTTCAAGTTCCCTGCTTTTCAGTTCCTATCTTTTTCATCTAAGAGCTCCGATCATGTTTACTTGCTTTTTCTTTTAACAAGGCAGCCTGTTGCTTGATATTATTGATCTGGGTTAAAGGCTGTTTCTAACTGAGAATCCGATGGTTTTGTGTTTCAGAGAATAAAGGAGGTTTTGGGTGTTTCTCCTTTGAGGTAATGTTGAGGAAAAGAACAAGGTCAGTCCACAAAGATCAACCTCAAATGGGTCTGCTTAGAGTACCTGATTCTGGCTCTGAATCCTATTGCCGGTCTGAAAGCCACAAGACAAGTTCTTTGTTCAGTGTCCCTAGACTGTTTGTTGGATTTACCCCTAAGGGATTGTCTGATTGTGACTCTGTGAAGAGCCCAACATCACCTTTAGATTTCAAGCTGCTTCCAACTGTAGGAGCAAATCCACCTTTTAGCTCCCCAAGGTCACCCCATCAGAAGAGCTGGGACCGTAGTAGACTCGGCCTAAGCATTGTAGATACCCTTGATGATTATCTTATCAATACCTCTGGCAAAGTTCCTCGTCCATCTGAGAGTAGGAACATTCTTTTTGGCCCAGGGGTGAGAAGTAAGGCATCAAACACTAATAGTCATACAGATAGTCCTGTTGAGGCAGCCAAGTCACTTCCAAGAAATTTTGCTATAGTTCCTCGTAATAGCCACACCAAATCTCCCCTTCATAAGGGCAGCTCTGATGTTCTTTTCGAAATTGGAGTAGCCATAGATGATCCTGAACCACCCTTTGCAGGAGTCAGGTCTTATTCATTGGATTCTTGCAGATCTTCTTATCCAAACCTGTCGATGAATGGCCAGAAGTTGAAACCCAGTTCTGGAGTTTCTCGTTTGTCTAATTTAACTACTGCCCAACTGAATCCTCCTCCTGTAATCATTGGAGCGAGCTCGAGTGTGAACTCTAGTTCTGCAATTAGCACTCTCTCAGCCAGTGAGATTGAGCTCTCAGAGGATTATACATGTGTTATTTCACATGGCCCCAACCCAAAGAAGACTCATATCTATGGTGACTGTGTTTTAGAATGTCACTTGGATGACTTGAGCAATTTTGGCAACAATGGAAGGAAGGAATTTGGATTGCCCTCCTGGGATGCTAAGCACAGCAATAATCCAGCTTCATTCTCCTCTGATCACTTTTTGAGTTTCTGTCACTATTGCAACAAGGAGCTGGAAGAGGGGAAGGATATCTATATTTACAGGTCAGTCTTGTTTGTTTACTTTCTTCTATTAGTTCAGCTTCCATCATTTCTTACAGTCTTGAAGTTGGATTTGTTTGGATTGAAGCTTTTGTATCTTGTTTGGTCTTCACATCCAGAGGCGAGAAGGCCTTTTGCAGTTTAAGTTGTCGCTCACACGAGATGATGATTGATGGAGAGTTCGAGGAAGAGAACGACATTGATGATACTCACGGTGAGGTATTGGAGAAAACCATGAATAAATCATTGGGGGATTTTCTTAAGCTGGAAGAAGGCAATGAGCATGAACTTAGTGAATCGAGCATTCTTTATGCTCCATAACCATAAGAGAGTTGCCATTAACTAATAATTATTATCATAGATAATAGCAACCGTCATGGCCATGATTGATGAATTACTCAACAAAGGTAGACACCCTTGATCTTCAAAGAGCTGTATGTTTTTTTGTGCATCTATTAGCAGCCATGGGTGATCATTTTGTACATGGTTCCCTTTGTCGGGTCATGGTTCGTCAATCATGTTCTCGGGCTATGTGACTAGATTTTTGTTTTTCCCCATTTTCCATGGACAAACCAAGACTTGAGTTTGTCTCTTTTACCTCAAGTTGTAGCCGATTTTAGTGGCTACACGAGTTTATCTATCCACTTATATTTTGATGAGGACTTTATAGCAGTTGCAATTTCTTGTATAAGCCTCCAAAGTCCTTTTTCTTTTTGACTAATGTATTACTCATCATCCATGTGTTGAATTCCTTGGGAGTTTTGGAATGTTTGAGACTTTGATTTGTTAGTCAACAATGTGGGTTGAGAATGTGTAATCCACTCTATATAACATGTATAATCAATTTGCTTTCATTTCCCACATCCAATGCGATGTGATGTGGCTTGTTGGCATATGGTAACCTAGTTCGATAAATCAATGACTTAACACCTGAGACCTTGGGCTCTTTCAATATCGCAGCTGCAATTGTCTACACTCACAGAAGTCAGAACCATCCCTAAAGGATATCGCCATTCATCACTTGTATCCAAACATGTTGCGGGGTAAACAATGTCATCTAATGCTTACCCAGTGCATTCTAATTATATCGAATCAATCCGTGCGGTTTAGCTGTTAGATCGAACAAATTCCGCTCCTTATTTACGCGTTAATCTAACGGTTATAAACACATGAGTGGCTAATCGAACACAGTAGTTTGACGAGACACCAAATTGCTAATAGCTACAACCAGAGAGTAGGTGAGTCATTGTAGTAGGGACTGTAAGGTCTTGTTTTGTTTCGCCATTATGGTCTGCCAAGTTCCTCAGGTGAACTATGGCCCATAGCATCGCTTTCCTCTCATCACCTGGGCCGCATCTACCGGCGCATGCGGTCCATTCCATCAGTCATCAGAAACGCCAAAGCAGAAATAATGAAGAAATACATCGTCCTCTTCAGACTTCACTCTTCAGGCTTCACTTACCATAAAGAACATCACATGGCCATATGGCCCATAGGGATGGCAATGGGTCGGATTGAGTTGGATTTTGTCAAATTCAAACATAAACCCATGAGTTTATCCGTGAAAACAATTCGGAGTAAAACTCACTGGATTTGGAAAACTCAAACCCAACCCAACTCGTTGGGTATCCGCGGGTTCATGGGTACCCATGGGTTTGTCGTAAAAAATTTACAATAACAAGTTTTTATTAAAATAAAAGTCAAATATCAATCTCTCAATACAAATAATCTATATATAAAACACAATTTTAGAAAATTCAAGCAATTCACAAATAAACTTACAAATTGTTCAACACCAATCTAAAAAACTAAAGAAAATTGAAGCAAATAAAAAATTATACATAAACAACATGATTAATTGAAAGTTTCTTCTTCGTCAATTAAGCTTCTTCACTCTACACTTGATAATATCAACTTCATTATACACAATTAAAAAAAATAGATATGTCTCCACAAACATAAAGAAGATTAGTTGCTTATAATATATAATATACCGGGAAAATTGATTATATGCGTGTGGGCGGGTACCCATAGGTCGGGTACACCTAAACCCAAACCCAACCAAACCTGATGGATAGTGAAGGGTTTAAATCCAAAACCCGTCAACACGAGTTTTACCCGCATTGACCAGCTTAGGTCGGGTGGGTACCCGTGGGTTCGGATTTTGTTGCCATTCCTAATGGCCCATATCTCATGGACTCAGGATCGAAAAAGGAACACCATAAACAAGAGCACTTCTACTATGCTATATAGTATTGGTGCTTTAATGTACAACTTAAAGTTGTACCATAACATTAAATGTATAAGTTTAGGTTGTACCATAAAGCAATTTGTATCATTATGTTATGGTACAACTTTACAACTTGAAGTTGTACCATCACATAAAGGTACAAGTTCAAGTTGTACCATAAAAGAATTTGTACAAAAAGTATAGGTACAATCTGAAGTTGTACCATAACGTAAATGTACAATTTTAAGTTGTACCATAAATGCATATCCCTATAGCACCAATACTATATAGCATTGTAAAATTTCTCCATAAACAAACCATTTTCTAAGAATTAGTCACGTTTATGCTTATTTTATTCAAGGGGAAATATAATTTTTTAATAATAGGGGAAATAGACTAATTATGAATTATCATAAATGCTTACATAACTTATTATTAGTATAAAACGGTCACCAGTTTTTAATTTTGCACATTTTAGTAAAATACATTTGGACGAATAACAAAATGGACATTCTCTATTTTCATCCAAAATTATGTTACTTTACCTAATCAACATTCCATATCACCAAAAATATTGATAAATAATTCATCTAACCATAAAATTTAACCAACCAACCCGACCTGACCGGAACTCTAATCCACCCTATGAAAAAACAAATGATCTTAACCTTATCCCTCATTCTTCTCCATCTAAGCAAATTGGATGTCTTAAGGGAGTCGCTTTAGACAATAGGTTAGGGTTGGTTTCAATATATACCATCCCGAACCACGGTTTTAAAATCGTAACCATTCTTGTAACCAAAATTATATAGATGTAACTTGTCATATAAAAACCAACCATTATCTGGTACGCAAAAAAACCCACATCTACCCGTGATTGGAAAGTTTCTTGCTACCACATTTACAGAGAGGGAAATAAGTGTGTGGATGCTCTAGCTAGTCAAGGTCACTCTCAGTTGCAATTAATCCCAATTGGATCCCTCAGTTGCAACTAGATCCCATCCAATATAACCCGTTGGTGTTACTTGAGGGGGGTGATCCGACTGTAGCGGAGCTTATTCGGCCTCGGGAAGGCAGCTGGTGTGACACTAAACTTAACCAATGGTTTGGCCCTCCAACTTGTAGAGCCATCAAAGCCATTCCCCTTTCACGTCGGAATGTTGAAGATAAACTTATATGGCATGAGACAGTGGATGGGGTGTTTACGGTCAAGTCGGCGTACCACCTTGCTGTTACGCTTGACAAAAGAAGGGGAGGGTGGAAGTCGACTGTGAGCTGGATGGATAAAGATAGTTGGATTCAACTCTGGGAGGCGGATATCCCTCCTCAGCTGAAGGTGTTTGTCTGGCAATTCCTTTCTCGAGTCCTCCTTACTACTGAAGCCCTCATCGATCGAAAGGTCCAGGTACATCCCCGTTGCCCGGTGTGCTGGGATAGCCCTGAAACGCTTGAACACCTCTTTCTCTACTGTCCAGTAGCGCGGGCCTTATGGGATTACTCGGGCTTGGAGTATCTGGGGGAGGGGTTGCCTCGTCACACTTTTCCTCTGTTTATTAAGCACCTCTTGGCTCTGATTAATCAACCCACGGTGTTTATGGCGGTGGTAGCCATTCTCTGGAGGATATGGCGATCGCGGAATTGGGTGGTCTTTGAAGGTAAACAATTCAGAATCCCAGTGCTGATGCGCCAGTTTGTCCAGCAATATGAGGAATGTGTGCGATTGCCCAGAGATCGCGTCCTGCAGGCTCCCCTGACTGATCTTGGGCAGCTGATCCCTGAGGGCCCTCCTCGTGTGGTCTGTCGATGGGACGGTGCCACAAGGTGTGGGTCCCATTCTGCAGGAGGTGTGGTTCTGTTCTACCCTAATGGGGGGTCAACCTGGTCAAGGGTTTTCAGTTTCCTGGCTTGGACAACCCTCAGTTGGTGGAACTTCTTGCGCTCAGGGAAGCTGTAGCTTGGTGGCTGGGGTTAGGCTTCACGGATATAAGGTTTGAGGGTGATGCCAAAGTTATCATTGACAAGATCAATAGCGGTGACCAAAATGATAGTCGGATGGGTGCTGTTCTTGAAGAGATTGCGTATTATTTCCACATTCATTCGGGGTTTAGTATTCGGTTCATAGGTCGGCGTAGTAATAGGGTAGCCCATTTGGTGGCTAGGAAAGCCCTTTCTCTGTACCCTACCATGAGTCGTTTCTTTGATTTTCAGACCTGGCTGATATCCAGGGTGTCACTTTATCTCTTGAATTAGTATAAGATTATCTTTTGTATAAAAAAAAAGCCAAGGTCACTCTCTACCTTTGGGTTTCCATCTTGTTCCAGTTTCAGATCCTGTACTATCCTTTTGTATCTTGTATGACTGTCAAGGCATTTCTGAGTTTCGTCTTGTTGTGAATGAAAGCTTAGATGCATCGCATCCATTTATAAAAAAAATGACATGCCATATAAAACAACCATTATCTGGTACAGGAAAAAGCCACTTGCACCACCCCGTACAATTATGTATAAAGATTTGCATATAATCTAAAACTTTCTTTGAATCAATTTAAAATGAAGTTTATTTGTCGCTAAGAGAAGATGAACCATATTTGAGGTCCAAGATATAATTATAATGGTTTACCAATATGGATGAACTAAGTGTTGAATTGAATGAGTTTAAAACATAGGTGTAATCTATCTATCTATTTATTTATTTATACATAATATTTATGGTAATTTAAAATTAATTTTTTGTCACATAAGCATTTAGAGAGATCTCAAGTTGCCAAGGTGGACAATGTTTTTACCAAAAAAATAGTTATTGACCTATTTATGGAGTTGTCCCTCTCTCTTCATTTAATATTTAATTCTCTTTTATCCAATAATTATTTTGCTTTTGTTTTTTATTATATCTAAAAATAATATATGGAGAGAAAGGTTATCAAACCGGTTTAGCAAGTGGAATGATTTTACCAGTGGTACAACCGGTTTGTGTCATTTCATGACGGTTAATAAAATATGTAGAAATATAAAAAATTATTAATATCAAATGATTTTAATCATATATAAACCATATTTGAAGACAATTTACGTACAATTCATATTGATATTTGAAATAAAATATGATATTTACAATTCATATCGACAATTTACGTAAAATATGATATTTCAAATAAAATTGCATGTACTCATACTTAAATTCACTAAAACTACGTAATTTACTTAGAAATTCGTAAAACGATCATACCGGTCATATCGATGGTGTCATGTCGATTTCATGAACGGTACCGGTTGAATGGTTCAATCGGTGGCATGCCTGCCGACGTGACAATCATGATGGAGAGTGACATATATCACATTTTGGTTTTGCATTATATCGATGTACGCAACAGTATACTAATGTTCGTAGAGTGACATATATATCACACTTTTTAAACCAAAAAATATATGATTAAAGGTTACCATGTAAATTTCTGCTCATTTTTACTAAAACTTAATAATAATTTACTTTTTAATGAATAATTTAAACAAACACACAAAAATAATAACATTTTGTCGATAAGGTCTGAAAGAAACTTGACCAAGAAATAATAGTTATTTATTAAAAAAGCTTCTTATTCATTCTGATCAAGTGAAAACATATGAATCGCATGTGCAGTATTTATAATGTATCCTAAGTTCACATTACTAATATTTTCTCTAGGTCATGTTGATTGAGCAA